CCACCCCCAACCACGACCCTGTGCTGCCGCCTCCCTTTTCAAAGGAAGGGGGTTCCTATGCTTCTCCTAAAGCTGACGATGATGCCCAGAGTGCCTACCATGCACCAAGCCCTCAACACCTCTTATCTCCTTAATCCACCAAAAAACCGCGGGAGAAAGCTGTGCACAGCCTGTGTACAGGCGAGGACATACTCGGAGTTGAGCCCAGGCACAGCTCCAGTTGGCAGAGTTCCTGCTGTGTGGTTTCAGACAAGAGAACAGATGATGTAGGAAAAGAGCTCAGACTCACCTGGCTTCAAATCCTGGCGCCGAACTATGTGGCCCTGTGGCACTGGCTATGCTTCCTCTCCTCTCTGAACCTCAGTCTCTTCTTCAAAACGTGGAGCATGACTCTACCTGAAGGGCTTGCTCAGAGGCACAAAAGAATGAACATGGAGGATCTGGCAGGGGTCTGGTGCATAGTAGGTGCCCCGAACCATCGTTGTAACTCTCATTATTAAAATGACCAGGTAACCCCATTGACAATTGCAGGACCAGATCCCAAAAACATCTTTATTACATTTCCCAGGTTCCTGAGGACTGGTGTGGGGTAGTGGCTGAGAGTGTGGCAGTCCCTGGCAGTGAGGGTCCCAGTGTGAATTAGTCCATTTCTGTTGCTTATAACAAAATACCCAGAACTGGGTGATTTATAAGAAAATGAGATTTATTGCTTACAGTTTCAGAGGCTGGGAAGTCCAAAGTCCAGGGAATGCATGTGGTGAGGGTTTTCTTTGGCGGTGGCTTCACAGCAATGCAGGGGTCTCTCATGGCAGAAAATGATGGAGCAGAGAGAGAAAGACTCTCATGCTCTCTCCTTGTAAAGCCTTCAGAACCACACCCACAATGACCGCTAAACCATCAACTTAACCACCTCTTCAAGGCCGCACCTTTCAATTACCATAATAGGATTTCCACCCTCAACAGTTACACTAGGGATCAAGCTTCTAGTACACAAAATTTGGGTGACACAGTTCAGTCCATATCATGGTGCCAGGGTGAACCCCTCACTAGCAGTACCCAGGGGCAAAGGG